GGATAGTAGTCGTAGCTCGGGGAGGCACAGTCCTATGAGTAAAAGAGAAACTCGATAAAGTTCCACCACGGAATTTGTGATCAAGCGGCGCTATATCGAGTCTAATTCGTTACGTCTTCGTCACCAAGAACCGTTGGTACAGTTGGTATGGCGTTTGCCTTCTATCCTAACTGTTCGGGTTTCATTTCTCGGTAGTGGATGCGCACTGCTTATGAGTTCCAAATATAGGACGAAACGGCCGTCCAGTGCTTTCTATCTTCTGCTGAAGTTTCTTGTAGACTCGATGAATTACTTAATTATAATTATCTCAAATCCTCCTAATTATTTATCTCTGTATATCTTTGCTTGAACCGGCTTCTAATGCTCTGGAGTGAGCAGCTTGGAGATAGTAGTCGTAGCCTCGGAGAGGCACAGTCCTATATATATATATATATATATATATAAACATTGATAAAATATATAAATATATATATAAACATTAATATATATTATTAATGTTTATATATATATATATATTAATAATAATAATATATATATATATATATATATATATATAGTTTATGAAAAACTAGGTAATCCGTATGGGTAAACCTAAGGAGGATAAAATTCAGAGAGCTCAATGTAAATTCAGAGCAAATAATTTAAATAAAAACAGACCACTTTAAGGTTCCATGTAATAAATTATTTCACCACAGACCTTTTAAAGGACTGCGGATCATCAGACTTTACTTCCAAACAAAAAAGGAAAAGAAAATTTACACATGTTTATGTTTAATACGGCCCGTCAAAAATGTGTAAATTTTCTTTTCATTTTTTGTTTGGAAATAAGGTTCGATGATCCGCAGTCCTTTTTAAAAGGCTGTCGTAATTAATTTATTAAATGGAACCTTAAAGTGGTTTTTATTTAAATTTTTTTATATATATATATATATATATATATATATATATATATATATATATATATATATATATATATATATATATATATATATATATATATATATATATATATATATATATATATATATATATATATATATATATATATATATATATATATATATATATATATATATATATATATAATAAGTAGGAGGATTTGATAAACATATAAATAAATTCATCGAGGCCCAGTTGGTATGTTGTCTGCTTGACAACCCAACTGTCAGGGTTTCGATACCTGGTGGTGGATGCGCACTGCTGATGAGTCCCAATTATAGGACGAAACGGCCGTCCAGTGCTTCCTCTATTTTCCTGTTGAGGTTTATATCAGACTCAATGAATTTATTTATATATATATATATATATATATAATCATTAATAAAAAAAACAAGAAATAAAATTAGGATACACCTTTATTTTAAAAAGTCTTTTAGAATATTCCGAATTAATTAGCCTAATTATGACTCCTGTATCTGACTCCGAAATAACATTGTTTCATTCTCAGACTCGAAAAATAGAAAAAAAAAAAGAAAGGAATAATGAAAGATTATCAGGAGACAAGAAACTTATGAAAAGAAAAATTATCCACAATATTCTGCACATGTGTACATACACACAGGGATAAACACATACACACGCTCGCACAGACATGCACACGCGCATGCGCGATGGCAGACACATACATACACACATAAAAGAAGAAAAAATCAATGAAAAAATCACATCATAAAAATGCGCATAAATTATTTTTCTGATCATTATAAAAATAACTAAATGGAGAAAAATCAGCAGACAATTGAAGATTGTGGATCGTACGAGTGCACAAATGTTCGTCTACGAGACTCTGGAGTAGAGGTTCTGAATATAATATCAATCAGCTAAGTGAAGAATGTTATATTTGCATTAATCCTACACACACACACACACACACACACACACACACACACATATATATATATATATATATATATATATATATATATATAATACCTGAAGAGCCAGAACCTATCATAAGTTATGGCTCTTTAGGTATTCTAATTTTGCTCTGCTTAGTGTATTGAGTACGTTTACGTATCAGGTTAGGTAACTCTGTCGGTGTTTTTTTTTTTTCGACACGATATTGCGGTGCTGGTTGATTATTTTCAAGCCGGACGGATGTTTTTAGAGTTTTTTTTTCTTTTGAATTTTTACCAGAAAGTAATAATATTATTATTATTAATAATATTATTATTATTAATAATAATAATGAATATTATTAATATTTTTTTAAATTATAAATTGCCTCATCTGTTTTATTTTTACACCGCCAGAGTTATAATATAGGTATAAAAAAAAGTTATATATATATATATATAAATATATATATATATATATATATATATATATATATATATATAAAAGTGAACATAGAAGTCAACACTTAGACGCGATTGGGTCTAGCATGAAACAGACTGTCGCCTCTAAGTGTTGACTTCTATGTTCACTTTATATTTGCACACGCTCTATCTCTGATATTGAAGACTTTATCCCATAAATATAAAACCTCTTGAGAGTACATTTCTTCATATATATATATATATATATGTGTGTGTGTGTGTGTGTGTGTGTGTGTGTGTGTGCAAACATTTATTTTTAACACATTTTTACTACACCAAATGTGATTTATAGCGGATAACCGTATTTGAAATAGGCGCTCCTTTTTTTTCTTATTGTTAAACAGTTTCTGTGGGCCTGCGTACTCAATAAATCTTAATAACGGATCTTGGCTCTCCAACGCATTTCGAACATGCGCCCCCACTTTGTAGGAAAACATTATTTGATCAGCCACCTTATTAAAAGATGAACCTTTTATCGTGACTGGAGAAAACTTAGTGATTGGCCAGTATCTATGAAACGATACCAGTTTGGCTTTGGAGATATTGTAAGTTCCGTGATATTTTTCCCCCATTGAACTGTTCTAATTAGATCTGAGGGGTGTTCGGCTTCATAGCACTGATTATTTTAAAACTGTGTTATAGACAAGCGTATGGTTGCAAGAAAGAAATACGACAACAGCAGAAATAGATTTACGTGATTTATTTCAATAGGAACGTGTGGTTTTGGGACAGCTAACTTGTGGTATAGTTCATAAGCCGGCTTCCGATCTGGGTTGATCTCTCATAGTAGTTCTCACTGGTTGGCGTGGCGCTCCTCCTGCTGACTGCTGCTGACTGACCGTGGCAGGTCTTCCCTGGCCTCCTGTTGACTACTGTTGTACTTCACCGTGTGAACCCTTTTATGGCGTTTTTATGGCTTAACAGGTTCGAAAAACGACGCGAGTATAATTAGGAGGGAAGCATTTGTATTGGTCGAAAAATAGAAACACTTTAAAATATTATTTTATTTTTATACCGGAACTTGTGCGTCGGGCCTATGCGTAAATGACGATAATGGTCATTTTGTGACGGGGCCTTGTCCCGTTCACATTTGGCTCTCGCTCTTGAGTATATTACTTTATTTGCTTGCAAATCAGCCGAGACATGTCTTATTTTATTTTATAACAACTGCTTCCCTAAACAATGGTATCATCTGCATAACTATACACTAATTGTCTGAGAATGTTTCTAGGTAGATGTTTAATAAAATGCTTGGACAAGGGGAGAGAGAGAGCATTATCGTAGGCCTGCATTTACATTATGAATTTCAGGAAGCCAACAATCTTCAAGACGCACCTGAGAGAAAAGACTCGATGATTTTATAAACTATTTCAGAGATGTAGTCATCGCGTTGCAAACTCCTATACCACATCTTGTCGAAATCTTTTGAGATGTCTGAAAAAACAAAGGTACAATCATGCGTTTGACTGATTCATGAATATTTCATGCAATACCTGTAAATATGTATACGCAAACACGTGCATAACGATGTTAATACGTTTTGACATAGGCTTTTCAAATAACTCGAGGGTTGGCTTTCTCATGCTAGTACATACATTTTTCCTTATCTATTCACGTACTTGTGAGTAAATTTTTGCCCTGTTGAATGAATACTGGTCTCATGAATAAATGACAGACGCATAGACAAGAACATCTCGTTCTATTGAATAAATCTCGCCTGGATAGATGAAATCTCGTCCGAGTGAATAAATCTTGTCTTTTTAGAAATTATATCTTTATCCGCAAAGTAAAATATTACACTACGTAAAACAAGATGTTTTCTAAAATAAATGCCTTCCTATTTTCTGTAGTCCTAATATAAATCTCATTTGAGGTAATAGATATCGTTCTTATAAATAAAATTGTTTTAGTGAATTGTAGAACAAATTTTCTGCTAGAGAAATTTATTTTTCGTAAGTAAAATTCGTTGTTGCGGAAGAATATTTAGCGCTAGTGTATAAATCTTTTTCTTTGCTTTTTCTTTTTTTTTTCTGTCTATTATCGAATGAATCTCGTTCAAGTATAAAGATCCCACTAAAGAAACGATCTTATTCGTCTCACTAAATCTCGATTTTTTTACAGTAAGTGTTATTTTAAAGAAGAAATACATCAGCATATTGTAGAATTCAGACTCGTTTCAGGTAATAAACCTCCTTGTAGAATAAATTTCATTATCATGAATAAATCCAGTTTTTAAGAATAAATTATGCGCATGAAATTAGTCAGCTCTCGACAAAACCTAAAAGACCTTCATTACTCAACAGAAAAACCGATGTTTGGTTAGATTTGCGAAAAAGGGTCGAAACGAGAACTTTTCTGCAACATTCACATATTTTGTCCTCGATAAATCAAGTCATTAGGCAATAAATCTCGTTCTAGTGAAAAATCTCGTCTTTGCAGAATAAATTTCAATCTAGTGAATAAATTACGCAATTGTAGAATAAACCTTACATCAGTGAATGAAGCTCGTGCTATTGAGTCAAGCTCGTTCTTGCAAAGTAAAATGTTATGTAAGAAATAAAATCATATCCTTGTCATAAGATCCAAAGAAAATTGTTGCTGAAAAAAAAAAAAGTAAAAGATAATAGGAAGGTGAATGTTGTTTCTCACAAGTAGAAATTGCTAATTCTATATCCAACGCAGTTCAGGGGTGATTCGCGTTATCTATCTATCTATCTATCTATCTATCTATCTATCTATCTATCTATCTATGTCATGGTGCGCTTTTTCTCACAGACGGTACCCAACTGACCCTACTATCCTGTGCAGTCAACAAAATAAAAAAAAAAAACTATACGCATAAACATATAAAATGAAAAATATAAATTAAAAATATAAAATGGCGACAATTTATCCATCGCCCCTTACACACACACACACACACACATATTATCATTTTAAACGTTATTTTATTGAATGCCCAGATTTAAGCAGATAATCTACTCCGTTTAATTATTAAACAGCATAATTTTGTTCTACCGGCTTGAATATTCGATAAATCTTAATAAAGATAAGATTTGCCCTATGACAGGATTCGAACATGCGATCCGCCGATATAAATATATATATATATATATATATATATATATATATATATATATATATATATATATATATATAAAGTTTTATGTTTAACATTCTTTTTATAGATATATATAAAATATTCGTCCTTTGACAGGATATTTTCTATGAAAATTTCTCGGACATTCAGACCGGTAAATGTTATTTAATACTGTTTATTATAAACAGAGCATTTACTTGAATACTTGTATCTATAAAAAGAATGTTAAACATAAAAATGTCTTTAATAAATTGTCGGACTTTGTCCAATTCTTAATGTATATATATATATATATATATATATATATATATATATATGTGTGTGTGTGTGTGTGTGTGTGTTTGTTTGTGTGTGTGTAAGTGTGTGTGTAGATGTAGTCATATATATATATATATATATATGTCTGATATATATATATATATATATATATATATATATATATATATAAATGCCTGATAGTCTCTTATATCTTATATTTTGAAGGATGTCATTTTCGATATATACAGTCAACAACAATATTATTCGTACAGCCAACAGTTTTGAATATTTTTATCCCTTTCCTAGAATACAATGCCTGTATGTTGCCAGTCTTTTTTATATGTTAGCAAGCAAAACATATATATATATAAATTAATTTTTAGAACAATTGGTTAAATAAAAAAAAAATTGACAGGCGAATTATGCGAAATAGGAAATTATTCGTAGCGTATGAAAAACAGAAAAAAATGTACAATTTTCACATATTAATAGTTCCATCTTTATAACTTGCTGCAATCGTTTTCGAAAGTTTTTGATGAGATTTGAACAAGTCTTTTCTGGGATTTTCTTCCATTCTTCATGGCTTACACGTTCTAATTCAAGAAGGTTTTTTGATGACCGACGATTTATTCCAACTTTCAATTCTTGCCATAGATTTTCAATAAGATTCAAGTCAGGACTCATTGAAGTCGATGGCAGAACTGCAATCTCCTTTTCTGAAGACACGCACTCACAGATTTAGAGGAATGTTTGGGATCTTTATCTTGCTGGAAAGTAAATCGTCAACCTAGATGAAGATTTTGCGCTGATAGATTTTCATCCAGAATTTTGATATAGTCTGCAGATTTCATTATTCCTATTATTGCAATTAATTATCCAGTCAGCTTTGAGCTAAAAAAATTCCAAAACATAATCAAGACGCCTCCATGTTTTAATATTGCCACTGTGTTCTTTGGGAGGAAAGCATCACATTTCTTGCATCAAATCTTCTGTACATAATTATGTCCAAAAAGCTCATTTTTTGTTTCATCACTCTATAGTACTTGTTTCCAACAGCAATTCTCTTTCTTCAAGAATGTTTGGCAAAATTAAACCGAGCAACAATGTGACATGCTCTGTGAAGAGGTGTTTGTTGTGGTCTGTTTCCATACAAATTTAAATACCGTTGGATTGTGCGAATACTTACGCTGATACACATCGTATCCAAACTTTTGGCGGGATCTTTCAAAACAACTCTTGAGTTTATATTAACCTTGTTACACAGTTCTCGTAGAGTTCTCGGTGACAATTTGGATTTTCTTCCACGCCCAAGCAAATGTTGTGTGGTGCCGAATTGTTTAAACCTCTTTATAACGGACTGTACCGTAGATCTTGGGATAGCTAACCGGTTTGAAATAGAGCTGTAACTATTTTCCGATTTTTGGAAATTAATAATTCTCTGTCTCAAGTCAACGTTTAGTTACTTTGTTTTTACCATCGTATTCTTAACGTAAAATAACAATAGTGACACACTATACACCAAGTGGTGTTCTTTGCTGGAATTATCACAAATATTCTACTGAATAAATAGTCTAGAAGGCTTCAGTGATAAAATAATTTAAAACAATATTTTCTACTAAACGGATACTTTTGTCTTTTCCTATTTTGCAGTATAAGCCTGTCAAATATTTTGCATTTAACCTATTGTTCTGAAAATTGTTTTTTTTTATATTCCGTTTTTGTGCTTATTAACATATAAACACCTAGCATGATACTGGCATTAGATTCTGAGAAATGTATAAAAATATTCAAAATTGATGGGTGTACGAATAATTTCATCGTTATTGTATATCTTCTTTTTTAGCATATATATCTTCTATAATTCAACTTTGAATGAAACTTCATAAATATCTTATTTGTTTAAAGTATTTACTGGCTGATTTTGTCCTCATTTTTGTTATTGTTAGCACAACGTTCCCACTGCACCCGGCCTTCATCAGTTAACCAACAGAAAATTCAGAACTGAAACCTTTATTTTATATACGGGTATGGAATGTTCTCGTTCCAGTATCCATGTCTAGGGATATCTCGTCTAGTTCTTATTTTTAGTTGCAATTTCGCTCGCCCTTTCTTCAATGAAATCAAGTGTGCGGTCACCAAAGCTTTAATCCTAAAGGCTATTGTCCTGTAGGACAATTCTCTGTAGAAGACTTGGAGCCTTAAACCTAACCTGCCTGTTGATGAGTGATGCTGTTTCTGTTTGTAATATTTGACTGAACTCACTGAAGATTTTCCATTTTGTTACTGTTGTAAATGCTACTGTTGAAAACTTGCTGTCTTTTGTATTTATTTCTATGCAAGACATACTAAGGTTGTCCCCATATCCGTTGACATTTTCAGACGTCTAACTCCCAGGACATTTCTCAGTAGAAGACTTGGAGCCTTAAATCTAACCTGCCTGTTGATGAGTGCTGCTGTTTCTGTTTGTAATATTTGACTGCACTCACTGAAGCTTTTCTTTTTTGTTACAGTTGTAAATGCTACTGTTGAAAACTTGCTGTCATTTGTATTTATTTCTATGCTAGACCTACTAAAGATGTCCCCATATGCGCTGACATTTTCAGACGTCTAATTCCCGAGGGTTCTTCCTTGTCCAGTAATTTCACTTCATTCTGCAGGAGCTGATGACTCCACTCTTCTCTCCATACATGATCAGCCAAACCTGATTTCATTGTCTCACCCATCGGTACAGCTTTTCGATGTTTCTATAGGCTTACTTTTAGCAGGCGGCTAATTCCGCTTTTATATTCTTTATCAAATCTGCATGGAATGTAAATACAGAAATTTCTTGGACCTGTTCTTGATTTTAGGCTTTACTCGGCAGAAGTTCCTTCATAGACTAGAGCTGATGCTGAGTATTGTCTTGATGGACCGCTAATCTTCTAAATCTTTTTTGATAATCTCTTAAAACAAGCAAACCCTGATAATTTTCTCATCTTCCTCCTTAACATTCTGTTTCCACATGTAGACGCTGACAATATATATGGAGAGTAGTTATTCTAAAGGATTCGCTTAGTACTATTCATTTCTTGTTGTTATATGTCTGTCTGGACTGCCACTTTCGATTTTTGCCTGGTGTTCCAAGCATTAGAGGATCACGTTCGTCACACTGTATATATGGTTGAAATTGAAGTTGATGTAATATCCGTTGAAGGATGGTATGTGGTAAGCGGATGTCCTATTCTATTTATTCGCGTTTCCGGCAAAAGGCATGTTATGCACATAATATGTCGGTTCGAATTATGACTTTGTTCTGTAATAATGTAAACCTCGTCTTTGAAGGATAATTCTTGTTCTAGTGGCAATATCTCATTTTTATACATTCTATCACCTTCTAGTGAATAAATCTCGTATTTATCTGGTAAATTTAATTCTAGTAAATAAAAGTAGTTCCTCCGTATATTCTTTAAATGAATGTTTTCAGCACTTTAATGTTACCTGCCATACATCTTCAATATTAATTATGAAAAATAATTAAATAAAAAAAATAAATGATGAAATTTAAATAAACGAATTTTGAAATACAGTTCTATATAAGCAACGGATATATTTTATCCTTTAACTTTTCCAGTAATTTCTTCTCAACATTGTAATATTAAGTTAGATATCATTGAGGTCTTATTATGTCAGGATGTTATTTTTTATTATTTGGCATCGATTGTTAATGGGGGTTGAGTCCGATAAGTTGGACAAACGCTGTATCTCAGCGTTAATCTCCAATGTATTTTCAGAATGGTTTGACCCGTTCTTCAAGTGATTATACACAGAGACACACACACACATATACATATTCAGTTGTATGGATATGAGTTCGTAACACTGTGTTTCACGCTTTTATACGTGAAACCCTGGGTTACAAACTCATATTCACAGAATTGAGCACATTCAACTAAGTACCGCGCATATATATATATATATATATATATATATATATATATATATATATATATATATATATATATCATGAAATATAGTTTTAAGGTATGCTACATTTATGGGGTAAAGTGTTCAATATCAATGATAGAGCGTATTTAAATAGAAAAGCGGACAGGGAGGTCCACAGCCAGAGGCGACTGTCTGTTTCATGCTAAACTCAGTCGTCAGACCATGTGCGCTGTTTTCGATCGACTATTTACAGACGCAATTCATCCATCCACACACACACACACACACACACACACACACACACACACACACACACACATATATATATATATATATTCTGCTTGTTGGAAGACTTCTTCTATAGTTACTATTTTTCGGCAAAGTATTCGAAGCTTTACTCAATTCTGAAGTGGTGAAGCATCTTACCTCTCACGACCACTCCTGACAAACAATATGGCTTCCGTTTTGCTAGGTCTACCGCTGATGTGCTAACGGCCATCACTGAATA